TGGACTGTTAGCTACAAGGTCTCTGTCAGAGAAAGTTGAGATTATCTGCTCCCCAAAAGATTTACAGCCTTGGAAGTCCTATGCAGGGTGGTCATTAGTCAGAACCCACTTGATGTCAGTGGGTGTGTGCATTGGGCATCGTGTTGTGGAATTTTCTATCCTTGATCTATTTCATTGTCTTTTATCCTTTTGAAGTTCCCATTGTTGTTGTTCAGTGCCATAGATTTAGTTCTGACCCATAGTGATCTTGTATACAGTCTCCAAGGAGCAGCTGGTGAGTTTGAACTGCCGACCTTATGGTTAACAGTCCAGTGCTTATCCTACAGCACCACACTCCATTGTTGTTGTTGTTGTTAAGTGCCATGGAGTTAACTCATACCAACACTGTATAGGGTTTCTGAGACTTTAAATCCTTGCAGGATCAGAAAGCCTCATCTTTCTCCCACAGAGTGACTGTTGGACTTGAACCTCAGACCTTGTAGTTTGAAGTCCAGTGAGTGTCATATGGAACCACCACACTCCCGCTACTCTATTGTTATTGGTGATGTTAAGTGCCATTGAGTTGGTTCTGACTTACAGTGACCCTACCCTGTGTAGGGTTTCTGAGGAGCAACTGGTGGGTTTGAACTGCTGACTTTGCACTTCAAACTGACCTTTTGGTTCAATGCTTATCCTACAGTACTCCATTTGTTGTTGTTACATTCCATTGAGTCGGTTCCAACTCATAGCGACCCTGTATAGAGTTTCCAAGGAGTGGCTGCAGAGTTTGAACCTCTGACCTTTCGGTTCAAACAGACCTTGCTGTCCAGTGCATTAACCCACAGCGCCACATCAGGACTCCATTAGACAGGCATTATTATGTGCCTTTAACAATGAGAAAACATAGAATCCTTCTGTTCTTCTTTTAATTTCACTACAGATGTATTCTTCCCGGTAATGTTCTGTGGAACTAGGCAGGTTGGGACAAACACAATGGAATGTGTTTGTCTATTTAAAGCAAACCATTGAGCCACTGAACCAAACTAATGTGACTATCAGGATTGCTTTATATTTTCCCTTTTCATTACTGTATCACAACAGAGTAAACGCAGATTAAGAAAAAATGCAGTGGGGAAAAAACAAAAAGCAAACCCAAAGGAAGTAAACAGATAAACCCAGCTAAGAGTCATTTATCGAGCATGCATGTTATGTGTAACAATAACAGTGCCATCTTGTCATTTCCTCCAAGTTCTGACTAGATATTTGTTGGTCATGGATTTTCAGAAGAATGGCGGAGTTTATTTCTGCCATATCCCTGTGTGTAATCCAATGGAGTCCTAGCCTGATCCCTCCCCATATGAACCTCTGTGTCTCCCATAGTCCTGCCTTACAAGCAGCCAAGTTAATACAAGGGCTCAGTGGAAACCTCCGCTACATCAGCTTTCAGATATGTGTAACATCCAGGATGCCCATGTGGAGGCCATCAGGAAAACAGCTTTCAGACATTTATATATATATTTGCATTTTGTATATCAGGCAATTTTTAATGTCTCTTATATGTCAAATATTATGCTAGCCACATACAGTGTTTGGCATATAAGGGAGAATAAAAGAGTCTGCTATTTACAACTCCTATTTCTCAAATTATATTCAAATAAGAAAGCGAAAGTACATTAAAAAAAAAAAAGCAGACAGTTCACATGTAAAGGGAGGCCTCAGTATGGAACTGGTGATGTTCTAACAAGTCAAACTGGAATCTGAATGTCACCCTGAATGCACCTGATTTTGACTGGTCAGACCTGGTTAGTACTTGGATGGGAGACTGCCTGGGACTACTGGGTGCTGTAAGTTTTGGAGTCCTGGTGTGGCACTGTGGGATAAACACTCAAACTCAAAGTTGGTTTGAATCGCAAGGTTGCCTGGTCAAACTCACCAGCTGCTCCTTAGAAACCATATACAGGGTCACTATGATTCGAAACCGACTCAACGGCATGTAACAACAACACATTTCAATAACATGATCTGATTAGATGTAGAGTGAAGAGTATAGAAATATAATTCCCTTGTTGTTTGGTGAAAATGCTCAGGTAATTCTTTGTGTTTGGCATATGTAACTGGAGTAATGCCCTTCTTTGCATCTACCTACGAGTTATGGTCTCCACGACTATTTTAGGCATTTCCAACTTCTTTCTTCCAAGCCCCCAAACCCACTCTCACCATACATTCCCACTTAACCCTGATGGCAAATATACTTGCTTCAGTCTACAATTGTCCATCAAAACATCACTCCAAAAAATCCAGTGAGAACTGGTGGGACTTCATTTTGTAGATGATGAAGGTAAGACATGTTCCTGGATGGAGTAGGAAGAAATAAGATAACAGAGAAAATTTAGGGGAATAGGAACATGAGGAACATTGAATTTCATCATTGAAAGAAAATGAAGTCCAATATTGTGCCACGAGCAGGTAGAAAGACTGGTGGAACAGGGCAAACCCATGACTGCACGAATTCTTTCACATGGAGGTGGGAGTGTAAAGACAAGTGGGCCAGTATTTTCTTCCAGTGGGAGAAATGGGCTGGCTACAAACGGACCAGCAGCATCTCAGCTACCATTTGAAGAAGACATGGAATAGACAGGAGGGGCAGACACTAAGACGTGTCTACATTTTCTGTGGCTCCACTCGTGGGATCTTTCATAACCATTAAGTGAAAGGATGGATAGGGCTCATCTTTCTCCCATGGAGCAGCTGGTAGATTTGAACTGCTGATGTTGGCTATTTTAAGCCTGTTTCAAAATCCACTACAGACCCAGAGTTCCTTCTTAGAACTAGTTGTCGTTGCTGTTAGGTGGTATAGAATCTGTTCTGACTCATAACAACCCTCTACACAACGGTATGAAGCACTGCCTGGTCCTGCGGCGTCCTCACAATCATTGCTAAGCTTGAGGCCATTGGTGCTGTCATGGTGGCATTCCGTCTTGTTGACCCTCCACTTCCCCTAGGATGATGTCCTTCACCAGGGTCAGGTCCCTTCTGATAATATAGCCGAAGTATGAGAGATGAAGTCTCGCCATAGTGACTTCTAATGAGCATTCTGGCTGTACTACTGGAAAAAGTAGGAATGGTAGCAATGATAAAAATACCACCTGTTACTTGCTACAGTTTTGGGCTCTGTCTGGTCTATGAAAAACAAAACAAAACACACACAAAAAAACCCCAAATCCACTCCCATTGAATCCATTCTGAGTCATAGTGACCCTATCTAGTGTTTCTCAGACTATAAATGTTACAGTCTGAGAACGAACAGTCTCATCTTTCTCCCTTTCAGTGCCTGGTGGATTTGAAGTACCGACCTTTCAGTTAGCAGCCTCTGAGCTATCACTGGAAGGAGATGTAAATAAACTGAAGGGACAGACAGACAGTACAGTAGCTAATGCATAACCCACAGTACCAGTGGAGCTGCTTCTTCCATGTTTAAACTCTTACTCTTATTTTTACTTCAAAATAAGGGAAATGCAGTGGAATTAAAGCCAAGCTCCAATACTCCTTTCATTTGTAAACTTTAACTTACCCATAATGCTAGGGTGCAATATTTCCACATGAATGTTGATAGTGTTTCTCATGTCTTATTATCAATATGTAAAACCTTTCAGCTTGAATTAAGAAGTACTTGGTATTATCGCTTTCTCACTTGTGTTTTAAGACAAAAGTTAAATCACATGATGACTTATTGTTAATACTGAGTCTATTCTATTCTTTCTCCCTGTATTTTAAAGAACCCACACACTGGAAAATACAGATTTGATCTCCCAATGGCTAAATCTGTGGGATTACTTGGAGCAAAATAAGATTTTGACTCTACAAACTGTGGCCGTGGAAGATTAATTTTTTGCATTATGTCCCCTGGGGGTCAGGAGGTGTCTCCCTTCCTGTTTAGAATGTGTCCGTACTCCAGGTGGCTTTATTTAGGAGATTTACAAATATTGTCTGAAAGCACCTGTACTGTGGATTTGGTGTTTTAAGTTTAAATCCTTGATAATCAGCTATTGAATTCCAGGTGAAAAAGAACTGTAATAAATGAACAGCAAGTCAATTCTGTGTGAAACATGAAAGGCTTTGATACTGTGCAGCTCTTTATAAATAGGGGACCCGGCCACTATGTGCAGCATGGCTTTTTCTAGATGTTTCAACAGACACTGGGTTCCTGCCTAAAGGGACAGCGAGACCCACTCACTGATTTTGTTGGTGATTATTGGGTGTGATTTGGTATGAGGAAGTTTACCTTGACATGAAAACTTAGGTTTCTAGAACAACTTGTGTTTCCCATAGCTGCTGTGTTTTCTACCAAATCAAATTGCCTGTGTGGAATATCAGATTGCTTGCATGGGCAAATTAATCTCTCTCTGTCTTAGAGAAATATAGTTTTCTGACTCAGAAGCACACCTTTCTCACTCGTTCTCTCTTTTTTTCTTTTTTGCTCAAGAAAAGCTTCACTACAGGAAGAATGAACACATGTCTTATTAAATTACTTGAAATTTCAATTGTGGTTCAGACCTTTCTAATGATTAAACATCTATTTTTTTCAATAGTTTTCATTTGAATGCTAGAACCAAGTGTCTACATTTCATGGTTGAATGATGTTATATAATTAATCATTAATTAGATTATATTTAATAAGACTGATTTCTGTTACTAAAACAAGTAAAATGTCAAATCATCACGAATAATAAGTGACAGTTAAACTTTTAATAAGGACTTTCTTCATTTAAAATTTTATATACACCTATAGTGCATACAACCTATAATATGGATTCATATTTTACAGCCCAAAATAGCATAACATTAAAAATAATACAGAGACCAAGCATTTTCTTCACATCAAACATCATATAGTTAAATGTGTACAATAGACATTCTTCACAAATGTTCTACACAGAAGAGAAAGCTGTGGCTGAAGTATACTGTTCAGGTTGCACAGAACTGTAGAGTCTCTTGTGCATGATTTTGGCATGTATTCCCACCTAGTATCTGCTAGACAAATCACAAACAGCTCCGAAAGGGTAGAAGCAGATGATCTCCTTGAAGGTTTTCCTCAGTTCTTGACTCCGGAGTGCATAAATCAGAGGATCAATGATGGAATTACACATGATCAGGATGAGATACAAGTTAAAATGAGACATAAAGCACACACAGTATGGATTCTGGGGGCAGGAAATGTAGAATATCAGGTGGAGGAAGAACGGAGCCCAGCAGACAATAAAGACCCCAATCAGTATGGTCAAGGTGATGGCCCCCTTCATGTTGGCACCTTGGCGGATGGTGCCGGTGCCTGGGAGGACAGCGATCCTCTTGATGTGGAATCTGGCCATCAGGAACATGTGGACATAGAGAGAGACCATGAGAGCCAGCATGGTGAAGAACATGGTAATGAGGCAGATGATAACAACACTACTGTCAGAGTAAATGATGAACAAAATGCCCGACACAGTGCAAGCTGCCCAGATACAACTTATGATGATCGCAACCCGCTTAACCGTCATAATGTTATGGTATTGGAGAGCATAAAAGATGGTAAAATACCTGTCCACCGCAATAGAAAGCAGGCTGCAGATGGAGGCCAGCAATGAGCTACAGATCACAGAGTCGATGACATTGTCAACATTCACCGTGAAACTCTGCGCGTCCGTGTCTGTACTGTTCAGTAAAGTGATGACTATGGTTTCAGATCCATTGGAAACGCTCACCAGCATGTCAGCCACAGCAAGGCTACAGATGAAAAAGTACATGGGCGAATGCAGATTCTTGTTCTTGGCTATTGCTACAATTACCAGAATATTCTCCAATAAGCTTATGACACCCAGAGTCACAAACACTTCCGGAGAGACAAAAAGTTGCTCATAGCAACCTCCGTCCACATAACCTTTGCCCAGGGACTCGCTGGCATTGTTCTGCAGTCCGTAGCTGCTGTGGTTCCAAAAGTGGAGAGAGGTACGCATCCCAGGGTGCTGGGTCAAGTTCATCCTGCAGCGAGGGACTGCCAGGCCCCCCACCGAGCCTCCTGGGTCAGTAGCTCAGGGCTTTTCCCCAGCTCTTTCTGTCTGGAAGTTGCAAGGGTGCAACGCGTGCGCCTGCTCTCTGTCACTGTAGCAAGCTCCAAAGCTGACACTGGGATTTTTAGTCCCTTTGAGGCACAGCTATCCATATCTTCACTTTAAAAATCTTCAACATGTTCGTTCTCAGTTGAAAGAGTCTGCTGTTTGTCGCTTTCTTTTCTCTTCTGCTTTAACTTTACCCTCATGCATTTCAGGTTTTGTTTTGTTGTTGTTTTTTTCAAAATAATGTTCCTAGTGGCTGCGGTGCCCCTGGGAAGCCAAGCACCGCGCACGTGCTTACTGTGCGATCTCAGCCCAAAGCACAGCTCTGAGTGGTCCGGGTTGTGGGTGCCGGGTGTTGATTTTAATGGTCTGTGGAGGAGGGTGTTGAGAGTGGCTCCTCCCCCAGTTCCTTCTGACCAATCCACCCAGAGAGCAGTGAAGTCCGTTTGAGACAAGGATTAAGTTCCAGAGATAAACTGCAGGACGTCTCGGATTTAGATGCAGAAGCTGGAGGAGTAGGGAAGCTGGCAGGATGTGAGAGGGTGAATTTCCCTGCTCAAGTTTTCAAGGGAAAGAACTCGGTTCCTAGGACCCAGAGCTATTCTGTGATAACACAAGGAGCCGTGTGTGTGTGTGTGTGTGTGTGTGTGTGTGTGTGTGTGTGTGTGTGTGTGAGAGAGAGAGAGAGAGAGAGAGAGAGAGAGAGAGAGAGAGAGAGAGAGGACAAAATAAAATGGGAAACTCTGGAAATAGATACCTG